TCTCATTTTTCTCACACGAACATTTACAGTGTGTAATGGTGGTAGTGCGTTAATACGCATATTTCTACCTTACATTTATCAATTTTATTTTTTTGTGTGGATCCTGATCACCTCATCTACCCTGTATGTGTGGCCTGTTGTTATTTGGCCCATACTTCTCCTTTTCATGGTTCCTGATCTCATGTCTTCATTCCATTGAATCCTTCATCCCATTACCCTTATTGGATGGCTCCATCAGCTCTTCCACTTAACATATTTTTTGTTGGATGGGAATTCACATTTGTGCTTCCTGGTGACCTCCTATCACATTCATAACCTTACTCATTCTAGCTGCTTACTTCTGCCATTTATTGGAAGAGATTGTTTGGGCTGGCATGTGTATGGCCCCTCAAACTTTTGTCGCACACTGTCTACATCATTTGGCTGTTTCTTCTTTCTTAGGCTATGAATTGCCTCTAGTCACTGTTCTCCACACCTCGTACCATCTCTGACTGGGTAAGTTTTTTGTTTTTTTTACCATATTTTTCCAGGGCCCTCTCATACCTCACAGGATCCTGTTCAGTGGCAAATATTGCCTGCTGGGGTATACTTATATCAAATCCACACTGTGTAGGGCCATCTCGACTTGATATTATGATCACCCATGAGATGGAATGTTCCTCAAGACTACTCAAGGTATCCTTACAGTTCTCATTATCTTAAACAAGGTCCAATTCAGGCCATTCCCACTCATAGACTATCATAAGTAAAGCAGACAGAGGGGATCCTTGTGCATCCTCCATGCCTAGTTTAAAATCTAGTGCTGGCATGCTTTAAAAATAGCATTTCATGGTCATCTGTTACATTGCCTTATAGTGATGCTCTCCTCTGAACTTTCCAATGTGCTTTCACCCCTTTTTTTTTCTTTTAGGGGACTATAGGAGTCCTTGCCACTTACCAGTTCCTAGCTTCTGGGATGGTGGACCATAGAGGCTGTCCTGGTGTGACAATTTTCATTTGGTAGAGAGTAGGATGGTGGTTTAGTACAGTTCACCCCCTTGGCTGGTTTTTCCCATCCTACCTCTGTCCAGATGTTGGGTTCCCAGGTGGTCTGATGTTGGATTAGTGCAAGACTAGCCAATGTAAGTCCTTACACAATTACAGCTTGAGTGTTAATCTCTCATTCCATCTCACTGGGCTTGAGGTGATGATGGTAGGGACCCTTCTCCTACCATTGGCCCAGAAGCCGATTTTATGGTGCCATGTGGTTTTGGACTGGAGTAGACCCTCCATGTATGCTCTGACATGCCCTAGCCACCCTACACATATAGCAATTCTATAAGCCTGATACATGTTCTGGACTGTGCTTGTATATCCTGTCCATCTTTCAATACTTCCCTTCCTCTCCTCTCTTTGTTTAGACTGTACCCTGGTACAGACAAGGTGTGGTCTTCCAGAGGTGTTCCCATGTACTGTTCCATGGTATAGGGTGTTGAACTCCATAGGTTCTCTTCATGAAGGGAGTTCCTATAGTTAAAATTTTGCATTCAATTCTAGCTCTGTGTGAGAGGATATTACATATCGTATAAGAAGTTAGCATTTCCCGACACTGAAAATGTATTTTTTGATAGAGATTCACCTCTTTTCATCCTTCCTCTCAACTTCTGATGCATCTTATTTTCTTGACTAATCTCTAAGTAATGATTGAATAATCAGTATAAAGTGAACCAGCTGTAGTAGGAAACAGTGTTGTACTCCTATTGGTGAAGGGTTGTCACATGCTCATTTGCATGCTATGATGCAACAATATCACATGGAAACGTGAGATAAGGTGGAAGTTTCAAAGCTAGTGGTATGCAAAAAAGGTTGCATATAGATGGCAGCACTGAATTGGGAAAGCTATATGTGACGAGAGAGGTATGTATCTATTGAAAATACATTTCAGTGTTAGAAAATGTTAGTGTCCAACCAACCTGTTGTGTACAAATGCTCTGTTTCATGTCTTTTTCTACCTATCCCTGTGACACATTTTGCCTTCCTCTTTTCAGACTTCTATTTGGACAAAGAGAATACCCTGCATGAGGTGGATGCAGTCTCCCATAAGTATTACCGCTTTAGTAAGCCCCACTATAGGATGTGACACTCCACTGACCTTCTCTTGCCCCCCAGTGGCATGTCTGCAGACTTACAATGCTAGAATCCAGGATTCAATACCCATGGTGGACAGAGCACAGATAGCCCATTGCATAGCTTTGTGCTTAACTTCAAATAAACAAACAGTTGCCTTCTCCAAAGGGAGCTCATCTAGGTTTTTGCAATTGCACTGGCTCCACATCAGTGTGAGATTCTAGTTACTTTTTGCCAACAGAGAGTTAAGCCTATCTTTTTGAAAGTTAACATTTTCCTTACCTGAAAATGTATTTCCAATACTTAACTCTCTTCACACCTACCCACCCTTCCTCCCCACTACCATTTCACACTATTCTTGCCTTGTCTAAGAATGAAATTAAGTTTAAGTGCAAATGCTTATGAGGATTTATTGTGCATGGAAGATGTGTTTTTCTGTTGGTGGTGGGCTAATGTCACATGAAGATTATATCATGCACTAACATAGTTTACATTATAACACTTATCTTAGGTGGGAGATAGCACAAGTTTAGTGGCATGTGCGAAATCTCAGCCAGATGCACAAAAAATAGTTACAGTGTACAGAAAGGTATCTATTGGAAATACATTTATAGATAAGGAAAATGTAAACATAGCATGTATGGGGAACAATTATATGTACAGAGTGATTAGAATTTTTTCAGGAAAAGATTTACATTTAAATTTACATATGTGTTACTTATTTACACTATTCAGTTTAGAACTTGGAAGCTTACTAAAACTTTTATTGGTCCTTGTTTACATAGATTTTCATGGTCTAATTATGGTAGAAGTCTAGGCCCCTTGAGTGTGATTGTCATCAGGTTACCCATATGGTCTGTTGTGAAGCTAGTTTACTTTGCAGTTTTGAGATAGTTTGGAGCATAAAAATCACACTTACAAAGCTTATAACTGGCGCAACCACAGCAATGGAAATGAGCCGTAAAAATTCTAGTAGACATAAGCATTTTTTTGGCAAGTAGTTTGCAAGATTCCTCTGTTTTTTAACAGCAATTAACCTGAAGTGTGAACTTCATTTACTAAAATCATGATACAGTGTTGCTCTTTCAAGGAGTGTGTCTTTGGTGTTGTTATAAAATTAGCACACCATGTATAAAAATTCCATTCTATATTTGGTATAAAATATTTCATTTCTAAAAAAATTGATATTATCTAAAACTTGTAAAAAAATTATAAGACAATGAAAAATGTACATAGTATGTAGTTTTCAAGTTTTTGCAAATAACATTTTTTGCATAATATACACACAATTTTGTTTAACATGAGCTTTAGTCCTGTGTATGATAGTTTAATAAGTTTCTGTCATTCAAACACTAATACTGAATTGGACAAATTTGCAAAACATAATTATAAAGTATAAACCACAAATGTTTACAATATAGTAATATTACTTCTTTTTTTGCAAGAATCCTTTCTAAGACATTTTGATTTTGTTATATAATCTTATTGTTTGCTACATTAGTATCTTGTGTATTTAGTTTATTGTATAAGTAAAAAATGTCATTAGGAGATTACCCATAAAGACCTTAAAAGAAACCTTCCCAAAAATTTGCTGCAAGTCTAAACTGTTTTCCAAGATAAGTATTATAATGAACAGCGGGTTTAATTTTATTAAAGGTATTCCAATATATAATACTCTATTTTCCTTGTTGAAAGAGAATACATTATTTATATTTTTATGTCTGTTTTAAGATCTAAAACAAATCAAAGCTTAACTAGTGATAATAGAAGTATAATTGTGTTGTTCAGTTGGTAATTGATTAATTCCCTGGATAATATCTGCCATTGGAATACACAGCCAAATGATGATGATATTATATATTTCTTTATTGTTAACATAATTTCAAACATTTTTATTGGAAAAATGAGAATAATGTTTCTGTGCAATTGGTTTGATGAGTGTAATGCTAATGGGTGGTTAGACAGTTTAAGTTTCATAAGAGGACATGTTTTATGAAGTATATTAATGGTACATATAGAACAGTACACTTATATTTTATATTTTTTTATGAAGAAATCTTTTATGAAGTGGTCTTTGTAAGCAATACTTGCTGTTTCCTAGATCCAATTATTTATACCAAAATTGCGTATCTGAGCAGTGCATCATTTGTGTCTTTTTTTATTATATGGTGTGACAAAAGTTCATTTAACTTTCTTTATCTTGTGCAATATGTTAGTTTGCACCGTGGCAATTTTTATAACTTTGATAAACATATGTGCATGTACACAGTCTACTACTTCTATGCATGTAGTATACATTGATTAATACTAGTGCAGATACAGTGGGGCTCATACACATCAAAATAACATTTATGACTTAAAAGCTGTTCTACAATGATCTTTAAAATAATTTTTTTTTTATATCCAAGACAACATAAATATTACCAAGAATAAAAATTAATAGTAAAACTGTGTTACGTAAATACATGGAAAAATGTAGTGATTAATATTACAACTTTCTATATGAACCTATTTAAAATTAATGAGTGTTTACTTATTCTGCAAGGATGTCAGAATCACGAGAAAGAGCATGGTAAAAAATAAAATGCAGGTGTCAGAAACCACATTAATGTTATGAAATTGTACTTACATGAGGTGTCCTGTAAAGACTACTTGGTACTTCATATTACGATACACACAAATCTTCTATATGAAACTCAAACAGAATATCAACTTCTTTTACTTTGTCATTCGGGCTCTGGAAGTTTCAATTCAAACTGAGGAACATTTAAATGCAGCAGCTAAAAACCTATACAATTTAGTGAAGCCTATTAATGTTATGATTGTATTTAGTTAAACAATTAAAAGAAAACTGTTTCTACAGGTTGTTACAGAAGACTGTTATTTTTCCATAGCGCTTAGCAAGGAAGTATCGTAACCAGAGGTTTAAGTGTGGAGAGGATAATGAAGGGTACAGTGTGAAATTGAAGATGAAATATTTTGTTCATTATATGGAACACAACCAAGATGACAGTCCACTTTATATCTTTGACAGCAGTTTTGGAGAGGTAGGATATGTAACTTTAATATTGAATTACCTTTTTAATTAGCCAAATATTTCTTACATTTACAACAAGAGCAGTTAAAATATTGATTAACAAGTTTCGTCATAATAAAAATACAAACTTATAAACTACTATGTACTGTTGCAGCTCACAAATACTACAATAACAAATAGCAGTATGTTAGCATACTTTTAGGTGTATTTCCACTAATAATAGCATCTGCCACTTTGATATGCTTGCCTTTTATGTTCTTTTGCAAATTTATTTTGTTTATATTAAGACAAGTTTGACATGTATATATCTTTACAACAGATCTCTTAAGTTAAACAATAAAAAGTTTTTATAGCATTTAAGGAATTGAGAAACAAATTATATTCAAGTAAAAGTAAAAATTAATACAAAATATAATTAAAAGTTTAAACTAACTTATTGCTAGGTATTTTCTGTTGAATTACTGCCCTTCTGACTAAAATTATCAGATTAACAATTCATTCCATGTATTCTTGGCTTATATAATTAAAAGTTTAAACTAACTTATTGCTAGGTATTTTCTGTTGAATTACTGCCTTCTGACTAAAATTATCAGATTAACAATTCATTCCATGTATTCTTGACTTATGCATTCATAACTCTCTATGAAAATTGGAACATACAAGAAAGATAATAGATAAAAATGCAATTTCTCCTTGTAGATCAGGCATGTGCAACGTACAGCCCATAAGGTGGTTTTATCAGGCTCACAGTGGGTTCTTAAAATATAATTGACTCTGACCCATGAACTCGCATTTTGTATTATATTATTATTATTTGTTTTATGCAATCTGATCTTAGCTAACCTAAAGAGTTTCCTATTAAATAATGCACTAAAGAAAATAGAATAATAACATGCAAAAAGCAGATAATATCCCATAACTATCACAATTTTTGGCTTTCTAACTATGTGACAAGAGCCATTACAAATTCATCCAAGCTGGTTGATATCTTTCCAGTGGAAACGAAGCTTGTACTAAAAGAGAAATTGAGAATTCTCTGAACATAAAACGTAATATATCATTTGATAGATGAAAACATTGGCTTTCTGTTGGTTATAACTAATACAGTATTAAATGTAAATGAGAACTATTAACAAATCCTGAAAGAGAGGGTGTGGCAGGTGGGTGTGTCAAGAGGGGTGTGATTTTCTATTTGATGGCACTGTAACCAAACAAGATTGAAGGCTAGGAAAATTGTGCTTTGTTTGATCAATGATGATATTATAATGAGTAGTTTACATTAAACTTCGTAATTATTTGAAGGGTGGTGAATAAATTAGAGAAGAGAAGAGGCCTACAGAAAAAATGACACATTTCTCACATTAGGGGGTAGCTAAGGATTATTTTTTTAATAATGCCTTATAAATTTAAGAACTTAAAACATATAATATTAAAATGTGGATTATTAGCTACAATTTTGGTTCATATGGTATGGCCTGCAAGTACATTTAAAAATTGTTATCCAGACCCTGACCTGGAGGAAGTTGTATATGCCTGTTTTAGATAATAATATGAGTTAAAGGTAAATACTCAAATATAATTTACTAGTATACCTACACTGATTGGCCACTTTATTAGCATGTATTTATACGTACAAAATAGACTGAACAAATTATTTAAATATACGATTGCTTGAATTTTATAAACGCAGATAGTCACATTATGGTTAGTGTCCAAGACAGTAGGTAAGAGTAAGGATCTTTCAAGTATAGCTAAAAATGTACGTAACTATTTTATTGGCTTAAGAAAGTAATAAAAATAATACCACTTTCTAATTATACAAACTCCATACAGATGCGATAATCAGTATGGTGAGAATTCACATTTTCAGTTCTTTATTTCACACATTCATATTTTATTGGCTTACTTCAGTTTTTAAAACTTGTTTATTAAATCACTGTAATTGATTATTGGAATTTTGTTTTTGATTTAAGTCATATTGACACTATTCAGCCTCTCTGACTAATTGTGGATCATTAGACTTTTGATAGACTTTAGTTTTAAGTAGATCCTTTCAACAATAGCAACAGAAACAGACATGGTCAAAATTATATGTAATGCAACCAGCATGTTTGGTTAAATGTCTTCTATGTGTAGTAAAGAATTACTAGAATTTATAGGGTCGGGATAAGTCCTCTATACAGCTCAAGTCTTCACATACCTCCAGTCTTTTTAGCATCTCAAGTATGACATTGTTTGTCTGCTAGAAGAAAAATAATTTAACTTTAAAGTGCTCTTTCTAGTCTTATGGAGTTTTATTTATTCATTTATGAATTCATGTTCTTCCTAGGCTTTTCAGCACCCTCAGTAACTTGTAAATTTAGTCTTGGCAGTCTGAAGAAGACATTGCATTGTGATTTTCTGTATTTGCACTACAAAATAAAAAATAATAATAATAATTGTAAAACATAACTGAAATATATAATTATATATATGTGTGTGTGTCTATTTAATATTTTGATGTATCAGCTAAATATATATATATATATATGTTGCAACTTACTAATCTATCAAAATACTGTAAAGTTGACTAAATATTCAAAAATACTTCTGGGTATATCATCTAAAATATTCTTTAGAAGAATGTTGATTGATGACATCATACCTTACTCTTCAAACCCATCATTCTCATTGTCAGCTTTTAGACTTTTGCACCTTTTTAAGTCTAAAAGCTCATAAAATGTTTTTTCAAAGAATTCTGTAAAGTCTTTAAATTCTTTTTTTTCTAATTGTATTCTGTTTTTAGTATGTTATGGCTAGGAACTTGCTATAATTTATAACCTACTTTTCTGACTCATCACTGTCTGTGGAGTTTGCTTACAACATTGGTTGATCTATGAACAGTAGATAATAATGATATATTCTGATCACAGAATGTATGTTTATAGAGAAAAACTAAAAATTAACTTGACTATCAGTATAGTTAATTGAATATAATTTTTCTTTTATTTCTACTCATAAAAATTAGAATGTATTATTTTATCAATTTAGTACCATTGCTGTTATTATTTTAAGCAATATCACTGCCTCAGTATTACTTCAGATGTAAGAAAAGATAACTGTAAACTACTTTTATTACTGGTCAAGTGAATTACATTTTCTTCATTGTGGTAAAGAATTCCATGCACTCGTGGTAGTGAATGAGATAATGCTTCTATACTTATCATGAAACAGTTACTAACTTAGGAAAAAGAATAAAATATTTTTAATTTCCCAGCACCCTCGACGAAAAAAGTTGTTGGAAGATTACGAAATTCCAAAATATTTTAGTGATGACCTTTTCAAATTTGCTGGGGAAGAAAAGAGGCCGCCATATCGATGGTTTGTGATGGGATCTGCTCGATCTGGGACAGGAATCCACATTGATCCTCTTGGAACAAGTGCTTGGAACTCCTTAATCCAAGGACATAAGAGGTAGTAAGTTAGTTACTCTCTTTGGTTTTTATATTAAAAAAAAACAAATGTAAGAGAAGACAAACTCTTCAGACTTCAATAGTTATAGTTTGATGAGTTGTGTAAGTTGAGGTAGGCTTTATGATACATTACACTTCAGTTGTTTTTAACTTATAACAGCACTGTATATTGATTTAGAATTTGTGATCTATATAATTCCCAAGATTACATTTCCAGATTCTCTTTACTGATTTTAATTGTGTTTTGCTTACTCCTGCCTCAAGAAAGTTTCCAGTAAATAAACATAATTCTGAAAGTGTGAAATAAATCTGATTGAACCGTTTTCTGAATGTCCTTTTTTTTAAATAAATTGGCTGTTAAGTAGTCATTTGAGAAATTAATAACATATAGTAAATTCACTTTCACAGTAAGTTGGATTTTGTGTTAAATGTAATCATTTATCATCAAAGTAATTTGAAGTACAAAACTTCAGTATTCAAACTTTAAACATGATTTGTGTAGTTGAAGTAAGTGGGCTAAGAACTGTAAAGGGTTTGTGTGTCAAAAATTTAGTAATTTTATATGGGTAATAAACAAGGATTGTTACCAGCTACTACAAATGATCCAGCAATGAAATTATAATGGAGGAAATTTGATACTGTAACATACACAGCTGTGCTCTGTACATATCAAATAATTCTGAAAAAACTGTTTATTGCTAGGACAGTATACACTTTGAAGTTTCTGTAATATACTAGTATATTTTTTTTATTTTTTTTTTGTCTGTTGTGAATAGTTCTGAAGATTCACAGTTATTATTATTATTATTTGTAAAAATTTTCTGTTAAATGTGAGTTGTGCTGTTTTAACATATTATTAATTAATGAACTTTATGATACATTGAACAGCTGATGTGTCCTAGTGAATGCACTTAGTTTTTTTTTTGACATTTAACGAACTTTTGTTTACAAAATTTTACATTAGATCAACATCAGGTGCTGTTATATGTCTTAAACTGATCACTACTTTTGTATTTTCAATCTACCACATTTTATAAGTTTATAATCTTTAAAACCTCCTAAATAAATATCAAATATTTTTCTCTTTACTCTAGTTCTTTTCAGAGTTGGTCAAATTGACCAACCTCGTAACCTCTATACAACTTGAAAGTTTGCAAAATGTGAAATAAAGTGAATAGTACTATTCTATCATTTTTAGTATTGACCATAAAGTTCCAAAATACGTCTCCTGGGAGTTTCTGCTTCTAACCATTTCACATCTATTTCTTATGTATATTTTATTGTTAATGGCTGATTTAGAAATATGCCAAACATAAAGCAGTGAATCACCACTCTTGCCATTAGACTGTTCACGTGACACCATAATACAATACTGTAAGTAGCATATAAGCTCCTGTGGCACAATTACCAGAACTTCCCTCACAGTTTATCATAATCCAGGTTCTGAGAACACAGTGGGAGAGGATTTATTGGTTTGTTTAATGAAGAGTGATTCCAACAAAAATGAGAATAGAAGTGCGAGAAATTATTTATGATATGGCTCTGCACAAAGTTCAGGCAGATCCACTAAACTTGGTAGGTATACGAATGTGAGTTATCTTTCTGAGGTGGGTGGAATTTAGCAATATAGGCCTACAAAGTGTGTATGTGCTTCTAAATGTGTGTATGTATATATATATATATATTATTATTATTATTACTATTTACACATAGATGCTTAATTTTTAGTTATTGTTTTTAAAACATAGAACAGTAATTAAAAAATATATAAAAAACAGTGATTTCGAGCACTTGCTAAACCTCGATGTAAGCATCATTTATTCTTTCAAGTGGAAGGGGAAGACTGGTTTTAGTAGGTTTCTAAAATGTATTTTAGGAAACTATAAAATTATCAAATTACTGTTAACGGTACACATAAAATCTGTAATTTATCTGGCTTTCTAACTAAGCTATATGTGGGTTTAAAAAATTTTCATTTCTATTCAGAACAATGACTTGCTCAACAGACTTCAAAATCTCTAGTGAAATTACAAGTTTTCCTTTCAAGCCAATTACAAATAATTGTCAGATTTATATTGTTTAAATGTGCTCTTTCTATTTGTTATACACATGTACTTAAGAAAAGTAGGAACTAGTAGATCAGAGGTTTAAGAATAATGGAGTAGTGGGTGGGACTACCCTCATAAGTATATTGATATCTTGGCAAATCAAAAAGATGAGAGCTTCATGTTTTATATTCTAGCTTGTGAATGTTCGAAGTTTGAGTTTCTAATTCGTTAACCACTACAGACATTGTATGGTAGGCATAATAAAATATAAACTGAGCAAGGAGAAATGCCATATGACATACAAACATTTATATTTAGCATTTTCTTAATATTTTGTTTCAAATTAATAAATTTAAATGTATATATATATAGTGTTAGATTTGAATCATAAAATATGTTGTGATGCCAATTTTATTGACATACAATCATAATGAAGTGGGTATAATTAAATTTTGAAAATAACTAAACTGTCGTGGTATGGGCCCTTTGACCTGTCCATAGCATGAGGGTTAAATGTGGGCCTAAAGGAAGTGTAAATTCAAATTAAATTATTTAAGTTACTTTTACATAGTTTATCACTGCACTGTTTTTGTAGCATATAACTGTAAACAAGATGTTTAAAGTTATTGGATTTAAAGTTAAAGTTTAATGCTTATGTTTATAAATAGGAAAAATTCAGTTGTCAGTTGCACTTTACTCCATCGTCAGAAGTAAAAATTGCAATGAATTGTTATTTATTTTGTAATCACCTGATACTTTTACAAATTAAATGTTTATATATATACTGTCTTGCATGAAGATTTGTGTCTGTAGGAAAGTATGATTTCAACTTTGTGTTAAAGATCTTTGCTGTTTGTGTTTTAAAAATTTAGAATAAGAATTTATTACAAAAATTTTTATTTCAAAGTCAAATTTCTGAATTGATAACAAACTTTATGTTATCAGATGGTGCCTTTTTCCAACAAATACACCTCGTGAAATTATTAAAGTTCGACCACAAGAAGGAGGGAAGCAGACAGATGAAGCCATAACTTGGTTCCACATTATTTATCCTCAAACCCAGCAGCCTTCGTGGCCACCAGAATTCAAACCAGTATGTTTAATGTATTTCTTAAGGTTTAACTAAACATACTATACTGTTCATTATTTGTAAAACTATGTAGCACATGCATATATTTTATGTATAGCAGAAGTGGGTCATATGTTCTACATTAGACAAGCTGGGTAAGCTTTCCATAAAAAAAACCAACAACAGTGGTTGTGATGTGACTGCTTCCTCATTCTTTATTGGGATAAATTTAACCCATAAAACACAATTTTTGCATTAATGAATTTTGATTGGACAATCTCCTTTTGGTAAGTAACAAATCTACAGAGGTATATTTGTGCCATTGAGTTTGAGGGTAACATGAAAATATCAAGACTACCCATCAGGTAAGAATGAATAAAAACCTTATAACCCAAGCACTTTCTAAAGATGGACATTTCTGCTTCAGAAGAAAAAAGATCTACCTTTTTTACATTTAATTGTGTATAAATTAAAGAAACTCTTTATCGAAAAAGGATAAACCTAACTAATAAATATACAGGTGAAAATTTATAGTTATTCTAATTTTTGTTTTCATTTACTTATTTTTTATTTCTATTGCTTGTTTGTTTTAAGTTAAGCACAAAGCTACATAATGGGCTATCTATGCATCATTCTTCAGTGACATAATATCATCCTGCTATTGTAATACATGATAGTTTGAACTGTTGTATAATTCTCTTCAAATCTTGCCACCTGTAGATGCTAGACAAGTTAGACAATCCTGGTTTTTCTTTAAAAAGAGGTTTTTATGCAAAAATAAATAAATAATAACAGTTTAGTTTCACAAGTTGTTCCTATAAAATATTTCAACATAAGGTTCTGCACAGTCATATCCTATCACAACACCTTCATTTCACTGTTGTCTCTCTCTTATGATAATAGCTGCATCACTCCAAATATAATCTTTCTAAAAATTACTTACACAAATTTTAAGTGCCTTGTAAAGATTTAAGAAAAACAAATTTGTAGCAAGTATATGATAAGATTAAACACAAAATTATGGGTTTTTCTCAAAAACAATGCCAAAGATTTTTCTCTTTTATTCAACATTACTCACTTGTAATGTTATGACTTTTTTTATTTTTTCACACTTCCTAATCATCTGATCACAAATACTTTCATACCAGCTACAAAAGCTTTGTAAGTTATAAAAATAAGAATGAACTTACTAGCTGCATGCTAGAATAGTAGAGGCTTTTGTCTATTAAAATACATTTAGATTTTTACTTCAATTTAATTTGTATACTGTTTTTTTCATGCTTTGTTTTATGACACATGTATGAATAATTTTTAAAATTTTAATTGTAATATTAAAACATTCAAGCTTATATATCTATTTATTTATTTATAATTTTAGCTGGAAATTATTCAGAAACCAGGAGAGACAGTATTTGTACCTGGCGGCTGGTGGCATGTTGTCTTAAACCTGGAAAACACAATAGCTGTTACCCAGAACTTCTCTAGCCTTACCAACTTTCCAGTAGTATGGCATAAAAACCGTAAGAGGGAGACCAAAACTTTCCAAAAAATGGTATCGTGCTTTGAAGGTTGGTAAATATATCCATGCACTATGTATGTAGATATGTAATATAGTGTTGCCAATATATATAGTCCACCCCCATTAATGTCGTCCTCAATTATATTTTTGTGTCGTTGAAAGAATATTGAATAAAATTTCAAAAGTAAAAAAAAAAGTAGAAGTTAAAAAAAAACGCACTTGAAATTCTTTCTGTAACTTCCTTCCGTGGGTTAGCTTTACTGACGATGTAGGGTTGGCTGGACTGTAACATTATTTACACTTTAGCATTGGCTTTTTTAAGTTGCAGCACTCACTCATATTTTGCTGTAGTTACCCTATATTACTGAAATTATGGCACTGAAGTGACCAGCAAGTAGTCCTGTGAGTAATGAGGACAATCACTAGAAATGTAATAACGTTAACTCTCAATATGGGTTCAGTCCAGGGACTGACCACAGGACCATTTTTACTTGTATATAGTTTTAATAATATAACTTTTGATACAATGTATGTATTTTCACAGACTTTTATACACATTACAAGTATTTTGTGCACAAAAATCAGTTTTTTTAATGAAGTATTTTTACTAAAGATTTGTCTGTGAATATATCAGGTATTTTTTTTTTAATAATCCATGTGCAAAGTGATTTTCATGTTAAGATTAAAAGTAATTTTCTTCATCTCAAAAATCTTAGATTTGATTTGTGTATTCTCTAAAACTTCCTAAATATATTTCAAATGTTTGTTTTCACTAAAACTTTATATTTTATATGTTATTTTCTTTACCTTAATTCAATACAACATTGGTCAATTTGACTGACCTCGTAAACACCAAAAAAACTGAAATAAAACTATATAACCCGTTTTTTTCTTTCTAGAATGACTTAAAATTGTAACATGAAACTACACTTGTTTATCCTAAGTAGCTTTAATTCTTTCACATCTTCATCTTACATATCTTCTTCAAAACCCTTGAAGTCATAAATGCATTCCAGCCATGTCTTTCTACAAATTCTGTTCATACAACTAGCAGTAACTTCTTTCCAGGCATGGTCAATGTTGTCAATTGCCTTCCTAATATTATATGAATGGCAGAAGTTCCTGATTGTAAGGTTCTCATTAGTAGATGTCTCATTAAGTAGCTGATGAAAGCTACAATGTAGATAATGTGCCTTAAAAGCTGCTATAACCTTCTGATCCATTAGGTGAATGATGTTGTGTTTATACGAATAGGAAATTAAGTCCCTAATAATGTCATTACAAATAACATCACAGTTCTCAAGAACATAACTAGGATGTTAATGGGGGTTGAACTTTGCCATTTGTACTTTTGTGTGGCATTACTTTAGTGTTTTAGAATTACATTTGTAACATATCTCATAATATTGGTAAGGTAAACTTTTTAAACTTTAAGTGATCATCAGATCTTTGGTGTATTTCAAGCATAGAAAGTGTTTATAGGTTACTTGCTATTACTTCTTTGGAATGTTCCAGACCTTTTGAGGCTCATGCTCCATATTTCTAGTTTGGATGCACAATTGATCATGCTCCTCAAAGCAATGAGTATACTAATCATATCCCAGTCTGACTAGGAAAGAAATTATTTGTTTACCAAATGTTGCTAAATGTGCATTTTATCACTGTTTACCCAAGTCATGTATGATTCAGTACTTAATCATTATTTCATGCAGGAGTTTGAAACAAGATGGCAGTCATGATCTTGTTGCTAGTCACACTTACCTCATATTGATATGTTGTACATTCAGTTATTTATATTTTTTGGTGCCATAAAGCTTTTAGCCTGAGCTTTGTAAGTGAAGGGAAATAATTTTAGTATTTATATGTTTAAAAGTGTTATGCATATTTTAGTGGAATAGTGACTGTAAAAACAGGTTAATAGTCAAGTGTAGAAGTGCAGATGTATTCATCTGTTATACCTTTATCCTCAGTGATTAGTGTAAATTTATTTTTTATCCCTCCAACATTAAAATTATTGATTTACCCGAAATCTTCTGAAATTGTGGTCCTGTAGTCTAGTAATAAGTGTAATTCCTTTATTCTTCATTGACTTATCCTATTACTTTTCTAGAAACGTTTACAAGAGTGATTCATTAATCTCCTATGATGTTGAATTTTGAAAAATTTATATTCAGTGAATAATCATCCATTTTCACAGTTGAAAGCTATTTTAAATAATCCAAGCTTTTAAAAATGTTCTTGTTTTGAATTGTGTGGCTGGAACTGCAGTTAGTCTTTTACATTTTTTATAGGTTTTTTAAGTGAAAATAATCCATTTGTGGTAGCTTTAATTTTACCTTGTCTAACTTTGCACAAAATTTTTGTAAGTTGAAATTAATTTGATCTAAAGTTATATAATTGTATACATATCTATGCTTTGAAATATGAAAGATTAAAGATTAAATCTGAAGGACTTTCTTAAGGATGTTGTATGTAGATGGTCTATTTTCTGTTCCTAATTATAAGTTTTGATTCAGTGCTTTTAATACTTGACGTTGTTTTACATATGATAATAGTAAAAGTTGATAACATATAATTGTGTTTGAAACACCAAGGGTACCTCAGGTTTAAGATATATAAAGCATTTTTATTATTGAACATTTGTTGAGGCTTCATAGATATACGAAAGAGTTGGTATATTTGTAGATTATGAAATATGACTAAATTTTAAGGACAGAAACTTATCTCAGTGAGAGCATCTCAAAATACAAAGAACCAAAAGATCTAAATTAAATATTAAAAATAACCATGTTTTTAAAAATTCACACAAATTTTTATCTTGTATACAGTAAAAATATTTTATATTTACAACATTTCACCTCGCATCATCAGATGGCATACAAGAAACATTGAAACCTTGTGAATAAAATAAGTAAACGTTTTATTATATACAACAGATAAAAGTTTGAATGAACCAAAAAATATATTTTGTGAAAATACAGATTTGTCAGATCTGGACTTACTATAGTTGATACACATGCTGGCCATAGAAGAGGATCACAAGTTCAAAACATTTTTTGTTCTGTATATTAGTTTAATATATGTATTAAACAGTCAAAGTCAAATGTATTACAAATGAAAAGAAATAATAATGTGACATGTATTTTAATAATGTTTTATACATATGTGGAAATTCGAAACAAAATTTGTGATATGTATGACAGTGTATGATATTTTCCAAATGGCAGAACAACACAACTTGTTCCCTGATGTGCTGTGGGTTATTCACCTCTGGGCTATAACATCATTTTAAACATCCCGTAATTCTGTATTTGAAACTGTAGTCATTTTACCCTTTTTACTTGTATATCACGTTTAAAGCTATTTTGAATCCTATTCAGGAACACCGACCAGAACTTGCAGTAGTTGCTGACCAAGTGGACTTAAGTAAAGGAACAGGCTTAGCATCGGATAGCTCAAGTGGCTCCAGCTCATCTTCATCTTCAGGGTCCTCGTGCTGCTCAAGTTCTGCTTCAGGTAGTGATGATGAAGACTCCGGTAAAGAAAGCATTAGTGACCGTAAGCGAAAAAGGTATACCTTATTTTTGTTGCTGTTTGTTTCCCCTGAATTATGCATATTTATGTGTAAACCTGTGTGTTTCTGTGCTTGAGTTATCAAAATTGCAACTAGAATTATAAACAACAGGTTTTAATCAAACTACACAGTCACTTCCATTGGGGATGGGAAAAATTCCAATTGATTATTTGGTTTAGAAGGTCAAAGGCCAAACCATTTATAAAAAAACAAAATGGAAATTTGGTTTGTTCAGCTGAGAAAACATAACCACAAAATACACACAAACATATCAAAACAAACAGAAAGCTAATGGTCTGGGAGATAAGCCATTCTACAGAGATTGAATAGGTTATGTGAAAATGATTTTGGAGGCTCACCGCATTGTCACGATCCATTTCTCATATTTTCATGCTCTATCTGACTACCATGCATCTTCATAAACCATCTGTTGTAGAACGTTGGTTTACAGTGACTTGACTGGTATGTCTTCACCTGGGATGTGTGGACTACTTTTGGCACTGACCTATTTCTTTTTTAGTTTGTCTTTTATTACATCAACAAGACATTGTAGTTTGCTGACTACCTGTTTTTATAACTTGTTGCAAGTCTCTTTCTGGATGGGTCTGGTGATCACATCTCTGCACACAGCTATCTCCCTTGCACATCCGCCAAAGAGATTTACATGCCGCTAGCCTTGAGACAACTTCCACCTAATTTCATGTGGTCTAAAATGGATTGAGCTATTGCATGATGGTGTAATTATGTGGCAAAGCCCCCACCAATATAAGAGTGACACATCTTCATGTACAGTAACTCCCTCTATGCATTTGCACTAGAGAAATTAATTCTTCTTTCCTCAGCATTGTATTCTACTGGTGTGTACAAATTTCTTGTATGTGTTCAATTTATTGAGGTTTACAAATGAAATTTTCATTTTCTATAGCCTTTATTTCAAAAGCTTTAATTTTTTATCATGAATTCTCAAACAATGGTATTATACTTATTTCTGATAGTAAGATATTGTTCACACTAAAGTCTTATTTCTGCTGTGGTGTTTGGAGGCTCATCAATTGTAAGGGTCATTGAGCCATTGTTTAACATGTGGATTACCACATGCTTAATGGGCCTCCTACTCCTGTCTCATCAGCCGTATTTCTTTCTCCTCAGTTGGTAATCATCTATTAAACTATGATCTTCACTTGATTTGTTTTGGATGGTACTTTACCATTCGTGCAAACAGCCTTAATTATTGGGTTTATCTTCTCTTTCCTCCTTGCTTGTTATTAGGTTTTATACCATTTCCTTTATCTAATAACTCCTTTCTTATGCCCAAATGCCTTGTCCACCTCACTTCTGTGACTCCCCTTGTCTTGATTTGTTGACTTTCTTCCCTTCCTTTTCCTGATTCCCTGTCTTTGGTATATATCTGGCCAGCTACTGTTTAACTTTGTAGTCCCTCATTTTTATATTTTTCTCTCTACTTTTCTGTATTCCATCTCCTATATCCACCTTTTATCTGTGGCACTTTTTAATGCTTCTGTAGACATTCATTCCCTTCTCTGTTTGGCCTTTTCCACTTCTTTTTGCTCTATCCCTCTGTACTTTGTTCCCCTGCTGTTCCAACTCATTGGGTCAGGTTACATCCTCTTTTCTGTACACTTTCCTTCTCCTTTTGTACCTCTTTTTTTGTCTGCCTCCCTTTATGGTATTCCTTTCCCCCTGGTGACTTGAGCTGCTCTCATCAGATTTTTGTCCTTGATAACTTCCCATGTTTTGTTTTCCTCTTTCTTGCCCTTTACCACTGTTCCTCATCTTGATCTTTCTCCATCTCACCTTCTCTTCCCAGATTCTAGGCCTGTTTTTTTTCTTGTGTTCTTCTATCAGTAGTCTTGTTTTTCACTCCTATCAGTGACTATCACACATATCCAATTCTTTGGGTACCTATCTTTTTCAATTTGATCTCTTTCCTCACTCCTCTTCTATCCCTGGTTCCTTTTCACCTCCCTCTGACACCATCTGGGGTCTTTTTCACCTGTGGTTGATGTGTTGGACATCTGCCTATACATATTTTTTGGCCTCTCTTCCCATTGTTCTCTGTACTTTCTCCTTGGTTTTTGGGGTTTTCCCATTCCTTGTCCTTCCATTCAACTCCGTGTTGGCCCTTCTTTTATTTCCTAGTATTGTGTGGACCTCTACTTGCAATATACATGGTTCAGGGCTGGAGTTATTTTTCTCAGACTCTTTCCCTCTATTAGTCCATTCATGGATGCTTTCTCTACTCCTACCTCCCATCCTTTTCTGTGGCTACTTCGTAGTGAAGGGGGGCTTTTGTTGTTTTCTTGTCTCAACCACATCCAACCTATCTTTTTCATATGCAAGCTATGGTGTATCTGGTCACCAAATTTTGCACTTCTCATTTTCTTCCTACATGGAAGGATATTTTGCTTTTGGGAAATCTGGCTTCCTTACAAACCTTCATTCCTTTCACAAAAGTAGTAATATGTCTCCAACTTTGAACTTTGTGAACCCATGGTTTTCATAGTTGAGGTCCATTTTCTCCTTTGTGAGTATCTTCTCAGGAATATCTTAGTGATTGGACTGTGCCCAGACTTGTTCCTGCACTTTCATACCACATCTCACATAGAATCTCTCACTTCTTCAACACTTCTATCTTTGTTGAGGCACATTTCTATGGACAGCAGGGCTTGTGATGTTTCAATGCTGGTCATGCATTCCTTCCACATCAGGTTGATCTTCTTGCCTATAGTTTGCCTAGAGCCTATAGCTTGAGGGTGGACCACCCCTTTCAGCTAGTCAGTATTCTATTGACAGAGTGGTTGTTACACCCAATGGAGTTTGTTCTTGGTTGGTTACAACTTTCTTGAATACATTTGCTACCCTTCACAACTCCAGACTTCTTCCATTATGGCCCACTATTCCTCATCCTTTGTTTTGTCTGTCAATTTCTTAGCTTCACCTGGTCTCACATTTTTCTGTATGCCCTTTTTCTTATTCTACTCCCTCTGGCCTTCATCTTTACAAACTTTTCTTTTAGAGTCATGGCATTGGCACTTCTTTGCCCAGCTCTGCCGTGGTCCGCTGGTATTCAGGTCCTTCTTACTTTCCTCAATTTCCTCTCTCTCTCTCCTGCTTCACACTCATGCATCCCTCCTTCTTCAAGGATTATCTTCCATCCTTCATGTGCATGGAACTTACTCAATTTGTCACTCATTGGGATGTACTTTCTGCTTTTGTTTCACTCTACTTTTGCATTCTGCTGCTTTTGTTCTGTCAGCAAGTTTGGTGGGTTTTTTTTGCCATCGATATTTTTGCCACTTCTTTCCTTTTGGCAATCATCCTTTTTTATCCCTTGACTGTTTATCATGGGCTTGTCAATCTGTACCTCTACTTGTCCATGGCTTTTCTTGTTTTCAAGTACCTTGAGGTTTTTTACAAGTCCTTTCCATACTGTTCTGCATATTCTTCACCCTGCTTCAGTGCCTGGCTGGAACCTTAATGGGGTTTACATGATCTGGTGCATACTCCATTCAAACCATTGTCTTTCTTCCTTTTGTACCATCTCTTTACCCTAGTTTGCTTACTCCTCCTCTTCACCTACTATTACCACTGTTCAGATGTCTTTCTTAGGGTTGCTTCTCACACCTTCTTCTACCACACTTTTATATTCCTTTCCTGGTCTAATCTTTCATTCCTCAGTTTTTAACTGCTCAAGAGGTTGCCTGGACTTGTCCTTTCCATCTTTCTCTCATCTGTTGGACCATTTAGGCCTGGAATGACTCCCATGACCTGTTGGGCTGTTTGGTATGCCTGTTCACAGACCTGTTTTCCACAGACCCCTTTTCTTCTTCCCTTATTGGTAGGGTTTGTTACCTCCTCCAGTTGATGCGTTCATCTGGAGTTAGGGATGCTCCCAGACTATTTCACATTCAATTTGTCAATTTTTCCTTCTCTCTTACATCTCTTCTTTTCCACCCCTAGGATGAGCTTTCCTAGACCAGAATGTGGAATGCTCTCCACACATTCATTTCTTCTACATCTTCTGGCTATTTTATTTTCTTATAGTTTACAACTTCCTCAAGTTGACATTCTTCTATCATTGCACTGTCTTTGAGAAGAATATGTACTTTTCTCTTTCAGATCCTCTTTTGTGTTCTTAAGATCCATCCAAATAGTTGATCCAAAATTCATCTCGAGCTAGGGCGATGGAAAGCATTTGTACCATCCACTTTGGCTCCATATATGCTCACTGTGAGATGAGGTGTTCTGCAAGACCACTTCAGGTATACTCATGATGTGTCTATATATTTACCTTTTTATCTAGTCCAGATTATACCTATTCCATGAACTGTCATGAAAAAAACCAGCACCAGGGCTGTGTTGTGCCTGCTTCCTTGGCTTGTGCTTTTATGTCATTTCAAAATAGGATTGTGCAGTCACCAGTTGCACTGTCTTCAGTACAAAAAAACCTTTCCAGCCAGAATGACTCTCCACTACTTCAGTGTGGGATTTTAGCTGTGTTCAAGAGGTAATTTCATCTCCCCAGAAAATGTACTTGCAATAGATACCTTTCCAATGCAAATGCATAGGGGGAGTTATTGCACATGAAGGTGTGTTGTTGTGGAGGGCTTTGCTGCATGATTATGAGTTCTTGTGTTTTTTAGGCACTAAACAAAATTTTTAACTGATATACACAACTTGCTCCATTGACCTTTCCATACACAAGTTCCAGTTCCTTTGGATCCAGAGAGTTCCAGAGAAATGATAAGTGCTGTGGCTCAGTTACATATACAATGCTGTGGATTGGCTAGATCCAATTGAAATAATTATCTAGGTTACATTGCATGAAACTAGATTTCCAACACTACCTAAAATGACATGTTGTTATGAGTGTGGTGCTTAACTCCCAGGAGTGCTAACTAACTTTTCCAAATATCAGTTTGCTGGTTAAAAGTCTTGGTCACCTGTGTTGTAAAAGTCTAGCAAGTGTCTGTCATTTTTTTTCTTTCTCTTGAATTCATTGTCTTTTCTCAAGTTTATAGTACACAGAGTAAAAATTTATAGCATCTTTAACAAAACTTTGGAGTTCAGTTGTACATTCGTCTTGTATCCATATATTGCCATTGACCTACATTAGTTGCCTGATAGGTGTTTCAGTTTGGCTATATTTTGCAGTCTTAGGCTTCTTTTTTCAGTTACATCTGTTCACAGATGGTATGAAGTCTTGTCTCTATTCCCTAGGGATTATCAGAATTTTATTTCCAAATAAAAACACATATGGAATTGTGAAATGTATCTCATTCTTGTCACTGTTTGGATTCTAAGATTGTGAAATAAGTAATCTTGGTTCAATATAATTTTGTCACCACTGTCGTGGGTATAAACAAAAAGGAAAAGCACATTCCTTATATCTGAGCCTTCCTAATCTAGGTGGACATATCTTTGGATTTTTAAACTTTGGCTGTGCCATTTTCCATAGGTTATGAATCATACTATAGACTATTTGACTTGGCCAAACAAGAGTCTTGTGAAATAATGGTTCTTATACATACCTTCATATGACTGTCTTTTTAACAACTGCCTTCTTGTATTTTTTGTTCCTGTAAAAGCACTAAATATGTGTACCATGTCACCTGTCATTCTTCATATTTTCTCAAGACTCTTCTGAAATTCAAGGACTGTAAATTCCAAGTTGTGTTGGTGGCACTATAGTAGCTTGCTCTCTCTAGTTTCCCTCTTTTTTACCAGCTTTGTGTTGAAAAACCTCTAACTCTTTTGACATGAAACCAACTTATACATCAGTAACAGCCGTTCATTCCTCATAATCAAATACCAAGGCTTTGGAATTAAGGTTGATTATTTTGTGTTCAGGTGAAGTTTTTCTTTTCATATAACTGGTTACATTGCTCTCGTATATATATTTTCTACATGAAAAATTCACCAGGTTGTATGGAAGATTTTTTTTGCATTGATATCAACCTTGTTCTGTTTACCTTTCTTTTTTTCGTGTACAATATTTCAAGTGACCAATTTTTTTTCAGTTACTTATATGAGTTACAGAAGCTTCTTTGTCAAGTTGAATTATTGGATAACACTAAGGACAGCATGACTCAGTAGCTTGTCCGTTAGATTGTTCTGAGTTTTCCATGATTTGACAACTAAGAATGGCTGTTTCTCCTTAATTGCAGATTTGTAATATCAACATGATGATGACAAAACCTTGTCGAAACATTGTACATTTGCTGTTATGTTAAACTTATATTAAAGTTTTTTTTCATTACCCATTCAAGCGTCTCCAACCATTATTAGTCTCAAAGTGGGTTCCTCGTCTTCGAATTTCCTGTATTCATTTTTCCAAGTCACAAATATATTTTTATTGCTGCATATTTCAGATTTTAAAAATATTTGGAAATGAGATTCGACACAATGCGCAGGTGTGTGAACAACTATTCCTACCCATTTTACTCCTAAAATGTATGATTTATTCTTAAACAATTTTTGCTCAGCAAGATTTAAAATAGAATGTTACTTTATAATGCTTGCATGATGCAAGATATATTACTACATGGTTAAATTAAGTTTTATGAAAGTGGAGTACCTTTATTGTTGATACAGGCTACCAACTACATTGAGAAATATTGCAACAAACCACAAATGCTTCTACTTTTGTTTTAATCTTATGATTTTTTGTTTTTCATCTTAATAATGGATAGTTACTTACTTTACTGATTTATTCAAAATTATGTAGGAAAACCAGTTTTGAGTTTGTAAACAACATAGAACATTTTGTGTGCTGATCAGAAATTGAGTAGGTAGTGGAAAGATAGTTTGGATTAAAGACTGATACTTTTTATGGATATAATTTTCATATGTGCGTGGGTATCTTAACAGTTCTTCAAGGGATATTTAGGAAGTGTTTAATAATCTATACATAGTAACTATAGAGCATCAGACCTGATGCGTAGAAGAAAAAACCCCCAAAAAAACCATTGTTATAAAATACTTAATACACATTTGGCTACCTTTACACTAATATGTTATTCTATATTCAAAAGTGCTTATTTATTTGGAAGATTTTACTGAGGATAAACAATCCTCCGTGTTTTAGGCTTTTGATCTATTATTTTTTTTGTAATTTCTTTTTCAGAAAACGATCTGTCAATCAAGATGAGGAGGATAAAGATCAGCGAAGGCATAGACGATAGCAGAATTAAATTTTAGATTGGAATAGTGTTATGGAGGAGGAAAAAAAATTTTAATGTGTTAAGTGTGTGTAAAATGAAGGAATTTTTTAAGACTGATCAGAATGCATTTGTTTCATCTGCCACATCATATAGGAGTCACAGAATGTGGGGATGTCTCTAAGTCACTTCAATTTCTTTCCTCTTTTTCAAGTGTTAGATTTTAAACGTTAGGGAAGTGTTACAGAATAACTAAACTACTGGAAGTCCTATTCAAAGCAAATGAAATATCAAGTATGCTTTATGTTTATCCATGTTTTAAAAATATTAATCTGTATCCATATTTAGTTTACAACTCAGTAGGAAGGGTCCAGATAGATAATGATGTGAAATTAATACCCATTTAATGTGTTTAGATTCAGAGTCTTGTTACAAAATAAACCTTCATCAAGAAACTGTTACTAACCACTTGTTCAGATTTTGTACTATATAGAAGTGGGTATGTTGATCATAAAATAATGGTTTTCAATTTTGATATGTGGATTTACAGTTGTTTGCAGTTATTTTTTTAATAAGCCAATAAACCCAACTTTACACATTTAATTGTTAAACAGGAATAAATATCAGTAACACTCATCTTTTTAAAATTAGTTTGTTTTTTTAAATAACTGAAAGTTCTGTGCTAAATGTCTAATGTCAGTATTCTATATGGATATTTTAAAGCTTATTGAAATAGCTAAAAAAAATTTCAAATTAAACAGCTGATTTTCTCCCTTGCGAATTTTTTGAAATATTGATATGTTTAGGTTTTTAACATTAATTTTTTTTATTATTTAGTATAATTCAAGTTAAATTTCTTGAAGGAAGAAATTGGGTGAAAGAATTAAGCAATGTAGGATTGAATGTTTACACATTTGGATACTGTTATATTCACTTTTTACAAGCTTGTAAATAATACCTACTTCATTATGGTAAGACATAGTTACTGCACAGTAACATCTCTTCCTGCAGTGTTTTTATTGTTATGGCAAAGTTTTACCAGACAAATTACATTTCTAAAATGTATTCCTATGAGAAACAAACTTTTGACCCTATATATTTCAAGAATATTAGTAATAGTTCTGTAATAATCATTGTAATATAATATTCCATTCTCAGCTTCGCTTTTTATATCAAATGTATTATTTTTATCCAACATCTGCTCAAGTTGTTTAGTTATTTTTTTTAACAAAACTATAATTATTCACTTATCTTTAATGGCATATAGTTTATTAATCATCTTGAAATTTTATATGTACACACTTGGAAACACCAAACTTTAAAAAGGTTGAAGTCTTTTTACTAGTTTCTCGTGAGTGTTCTCATAAGTCACTACTGATAAATTTTTGTATTACTTGCTAGTTTTAATCTTTAAAGGTATATAATGTTTCTTCATTAATAATATTAAATTTTCATAAAAAATTTTTTCCCAGTAATTTCAGACTAAAGGTTTAATTTTAATCTGGGGACCTTCTTAATATTAACAGCTGGTAATCTGTAATAAACTGTTAATTAATAATATGCAAGATGACCAAAATATTCATGATTTGGTTCCCTAATTTTGTGTATGTAGTTTTGGATTGATCCCATCAGGGCAGACCTGGCTGTAAACCTGTATACATATTGATCACTGTTAAAATTATGTATTTATTCCAGTATTTTTAATCATTATTTTCTATATTAATGTCATTTTTTGTTGTGTTTTTAGTTACAAAAGAGAAAATATTCAACATTGCAATAAATTAAAACAAGAACTACTATTACGTTTTACACAAGCTTAGTAAACCTCCATAATAACAGCCTACATTTGGAATATTCAATGATATTATTAAAGTAAACAAAGTTGGTATCTTTAAATAACGTTTTTTATATTATTTGAATTGTGTAGAAATATTAAGGGTTTTTTTTTCAACATAGATTCTAAAATAGTTTACATGGCTAAGAGTAGCATTTTTCTATTAAATTTACAAATATGTAAGAAAGAAGAGACATACGAAGGGCTGATTCTAAACCAAAAGAATTTACTTTTTTTTTTTTTGCTGTTAAAATAAATAAAAGTTTTTTTTGTGGAGAAGATTATGGTTAAAATTACGATTCAGTCCAAAAAATCCATAACCAAGAATTCTGAAAGACAAAAAGTGGTATTCAGAAACATATTAACAATTATCAGGTATATATATATATGTGGTTCCTAAAGGTGCTTCTGTGTTGGAGTGTACAGCCACTTCTTTTGTGTGAAACATTAAAACAGAAGTTGTGTAAATGATTTCAGAATTTTATATATTTTTGTCAGTGACACTTCTCATTCTTCTTTCTGACTGATATTAATAGAATGTTCTATTATATATACATTTCAGAAAAAATATTATAGCGCCCCCTCTTTAAAAAGTGCTACACCTAAGTGATTTCATTGGATGTAAATTTTATTCCAACACATTTGTAAAAGGTAATTCTTCACCCATTTCTTCCTAGTGTGATGACTTTTTAATTATTGTATAATCAAGTCTGATGTGTGCTTTTTGTGCAAATCTTTTTTTTTTTTTATAAATTTATTAAAATTGTCCTTTGCATTTTAAGATGCCTAAGGAATGTTATTAAGAATTTAGTGAAACTTGGGATTTGTATTATAGCAAACAGTTCAAATATATAAAGAGGTGATTCGTTTCCAATTTTTGTCTAAATACTAAGGCTGTGTATAAATCCCATGTGCCTCTAGAAATAAAAATGTGATAATTTGGAAACCAATAGCAGCTACTGGCTGGCTGGAATATCATAGCATTTGTAAAACCTGACATTCAGTCTTAATGAACTTAAAGATCAAACTTGTCCACAGTATATTTAGTAATAAAGAACTTCTTTGAATTATTCTGAGTCTTTCCTTACAACTCTGTGACTTGAAACACATTTGTATTGTTCTATTCAATATGTTCTACATAACATTTACTTCAACTACATTACTATTTTTCTAAATATTTTAAATATTCGAACATTAAATCTAAAACTTCTTCCTCCCCTCTCTCTCCTTTTAGATCAACCAATGAGATTTTTTAAGAATCTCTAACACCAGTAATAAGTAGTCACGTATTCAGAATGGTGGTGTTCATCATGAACTTTTAACATTCGTGTTAAAACTTTCATTTTTAACAAGAACAGTGCTTTTTTTTAATTTTCCTTATGCAGCCATTCCACAGTGTTCATTTAGCCTCTCGACATAGAATTAACATTTGGACTTGATAGTGGATACAAGTACTTTGATCAATACAACACGACTACACGTTGCTAACTGCTTGTTCTCTTCTCGGACTGAAGTGAACTTTCAATTTTTAAGGAAATAATAAAGTTCAGTTTATATTGTAAGAGTTGTCAGTCAAATTCAATCTTAGACATTCCTTTTTCCAAAAATTAATTTTTTGTACTGACCAAGAACATCAAAAGGACTTTGTTGTTTTTTTTTTGGGGGGGGGGGGTCTTAAACGTTTATTCCATTTCAACATCTAAAAGTGTTAGTCTTTGTTATAGGTATTCATACCTCTCTTTTTAACATTAGTCAACTTACCCAATCTTTCAGTTCTGTAGTTAGTCGTAACAGTTGATTTTGCCCTCATATTTTTCCATTATTCTGATTGCTCATTATCGAGATTAAACATTATTTTGTACTTCCTCGGTTCAAGACAGAAAGTTTGGAGAAACTTCGTTAAGAGTCATAAGTAGATACCCTTAAGTATCATAAACACGAATATTCATATTTTAATCCATCCAACTTTGTTCCTGTTTTTTATCTGTACAACTGATAGACTTTGTGTTATTTTTAAACGAACATTTGTTCTCTTTGCCATCTTGGAATATTAAATAGCACATTCTCGTATTTATCGTTTGTTTTTATTTTTTTCTCTCTTTTTCTTTTGTTGTTATTGCTCTTTTTGCATCGAGTGACTTCACTGTTCCAAGGTGCTTCCATGATGAGCCAATGCTGTGGCATCAAAGGTTGTAACCATTTATTCCTTTGACCACTTGTCCCATACCTCTACGTCTCCCACTGGGTTTACCTTTATTTTCATGGAACATTCTTATGTTCAATTTGTGATTTTGGGGCTGGTTTCAGTGCTCTTTGAACTAAACCATTATTGTTTGTGAGTATTGTGACGGATTTATTATTATATATTTATTTTAATAAAGATGTTTGCTTAAATTAAATTTATATTTAGAAATGTGCATAACTTGTACTGTTAAATATGTATTGCGAAACTCCCGCCTATTCTCTAAAGTAGAAGATTCTCGAGTGCAAGGCCCCCCAGTGGCACAGCGGTATGTCTGCGGACTTACAACACTAGAATCCGGGTTTCGATACCCATGGTGGGCAGAGCACAGATAGCCCATTGTGTAGCTTTGTGCTTAATTAAAAACAAACTCCAGTGTAAGAATCAACGATATATGTATGTCCGTAAACACTAGTGTTAGCGTCAGTATTGTTACGTAAAACTGAAATTTCGAGAAACTCTTCACACGCCTATAAATGTAACCAACGCGCCAAAAAGAGTATCTATTATTAGTTCGCTATAGTCTGTACTATAAACTTCGGAAACTATAACTGTGATTGTTATAACACTTACCAATCGGGAAATTTAAGATATTTGACCAGGAACGTTTATAAATTTCGAACATTACAAACAATTTAACTTCAGTGGATTCACATCGGACACCAGTACTTTTACGAAGACATTATATAACTACATTGGTGGAAAAAATCGACGAAGAATACAGGGCTAGCTAGTTCCCTACTAAGTGAATTGTACCTACGTCAACTCGAAATTAACTCGCTCATTGTGAACCCTCGATAAGACATCAAGGAAGTTCCAGACTAGAAAGAAGACTTTGTATTGCTTGTAAATTTGTGAACTTTTGTATATAAATCATTGTTTGTAGTAGCTGTTTGTAATAACTGTTATTGTAAATTGTATTATTGTTCGTCTATTAAAACATATTTGTATTTTAAAAAAGAAAACTGTGTATCAATCTTGTTGGTAAATATCATAAATTGGATATATATATATATATATATCGGTATTTATTTAACTACTAAATCTAAATTATAATTTAAATATATTTCAGGTCATTTGAAATTGTAATAAGTAACGTAATAGTATCCTGATTTATTTCTGAGTATAACAAGGCATCGTAATGTGCTATGAGAAAAATTGAAAGTGTTGAACAAAATACCACCAAGTGGAAGCTTGTAACTTCACTACAGGTAGACCTGGTGGTTAGTTAGGCTGCCTTCCCCTGTTAATTTGTCCTGTAACTAATTTCACACTTTAAATCAATCATATATACATATATATGTGCTAAGATCAGAAAGATTCTGAGGAAATAATGGTTGTTGTCCCAAAACTGAAAAGTAATTGTGTATTGGTCATCAGTAACATAATTAAATAAAATAACCGAAATGTCTTAATAGAAAATATGTTTGTTGTTTTAATATTCTAAAACTAAAGAAAATATTATTGTTTGTCAGGTTTTATATATGGGCCGAAATTCTTTACAGTAGGTGTCTGTAACTTGTTGGCGATAATTTCAATAATAAATGGACAACACACAATCCATTTGTTTTAAAATAATATATTCAAAACAAGTCAAATGTATGCACAAAAATTCGTTACACTATTGGTTAGCTCAGTTGTATCCAAAGCTTAAGATAATTCTCTTCTTTTTTTTCTTTTTTTTTTGTAAAAGTCCACACTGATGGGTTCAATTATTTTAGAACACCCTTTGACAAGACAAATTATTCTCTTCTATCTTTGTTATTACAATACAAACTATGAAACTCACTTTAGAAATCGCCACTGTACGATCTTTATCGCTAAACGCACAATCATGTAGTCTATTTTCACTTTTATTTTCCCTAACTTACTTAACTTTTACTAACCTATTCGCCTATATATATATTGCCCAACTGAAGCCTAGAACATTCTACAAACTACTAGATGCTATGATACAACAATACTCACTTAAAGTGATGAGAAAAATTCATATGGTTCGAGTAACATGACGTCAATTCACAACAATTGAACAATACAACACATGATTCATAAACAGATATGTAAGTAAACTTGCCATAACTATTGCTTCTAGAAATAAGTTACATTAATGCTCACACAATAATCGCAAAATAATACTCCTGTATGAAGCTTAAAATGAAACAGTCCTGTATATCTAACAATAAGCCCTTCTTGAAGAAAATTTTTTACAAGATTTTTTTACCACATACAAAGACTGTTTTCAGTTCACACACAAAGTCCTCCCATATAGTTAGCACCAACATTTGAGGTTGCCTTGTCAGTCTCTCATTGTATAGGGAGTCTGGTAGGGCTTCACCTTGACAAGATCCCTGGTCGTAGTCTCGATCTTGTGTTGCACAAGGTCTGTTTTGCCTGGTCTATCTGTAAAGATATCTGCGTACTAGCACAGTAGGTCTTTCTTCTGCTTGCCAGTCAGTTCTTCATTTATGTTGACACCCTTGTATGTCTCATCTCAACCCAGTAGTCTTAGGTCTAGTATGTCTTCCTATCCCATGACATCTTCTGATTCTGTGTCTATGACAGCCACACCTGCAACGTCCATCTGTGCCTAAATAGCTGAACCTGCTATGTCTTCTTCCCTCTCGAACTACCTCTTCAGCAGATTAACGTGCCAGATTTTAGTTTTCCTGACCACTTTCACTTTATAGTCCATTCTGTTGACCATTTCCTGCACCTCAAAAGGTTCTTTCTGCTACAGGGTAAGTTTGTTGTTGTCTGTAGGTAGCAGAACCAAGACCTTCTGTCCAACCTTGAAATAAAAACCCATGGCCTTCTTGTCATAGAAGTGCTTCTGACTGCCTTGAGCTGCATACAAACTCTTTTAAGCAAGTTGACAGGTCTCCTCCAGTCGGTTGCTTACACCTAACACTTGTTAGTATGTGTTCCTCACTTTTGACTCTTCTTCTCCTGTCCACAACTCATTCAATATCTGCATTGGACCTTGTACTGTTCTTCCGTACAGTAACTCAAAGAGTGAAAATCTTATTTTTGCTTGTGGGACGTCTCAGGAAGATAATAATACTGCCTGTGTGTACCTGTCCCAGTCACATGTTCTTCAGCATACTTTTTAAGACTTTATTAACTCACTCACAAAGTCCATCACATATGAGGTAGTATGGGATGGTAAAGAGTTGCCTAATGCTGATGAGTCTGCACACCTCTTGCATCAGTTCTGAAACAAACTGGGTCCCTCTGCCATTCAAGACTTCTTTTGAGAAGCATACTTCACATAACACTTCCAAGAGGGCTTTTGCTACTTTCTCTGTGTCTATTCAGCAATGCTATGGCTTCTGGATAATGTGTTGCATAGTCGGCTACTGTCACCATATACTGGTTGCCCTTGTCAGATACAGGTGCTAGTAATCCAATCAAATCCACATCTATTCTGCTGAGTGGGTCTTGTATGAGAGACATCTCACCTAGTGGCACCTTAGTTAGCTTCCCTCTAGGTATTGTCCTTTGGCAGATGTCACATGACTTGCAGAATTTTGTCACATCTCTGATCATCCCAGGCCTATGGAAGTTGCTGTCTGCCATCTTCTTTGGTCCTAGGTGTCCTCCCAAATTCGACTCATTCGCCAACTTCATCACTTGAGTCTGGTATTCTGTTGACACTGTGATCTGATTATCTTCTCCAGTATAACCGCCTTGATAGATCTGGAACAGTACTCCCATCCTCTATTGTATAGGTCCCTTTCCCCTTTGTCTTGTGCTCGACTTTCTACTGGGCACTGTCCCTAAGTTTTTGCAGTGAAGGATCTTTCTTCTGTGCTTCCCTCAGTTCCTGTAGGCCTACAATCGGGATGTCACTTTTCAAGACTTGAAGGGGTTTGAAATCTTGCTTAGTTTTCTTTTCTTTAGCTCTAGTGGTGACTGCAGATGCTTCATCAGTCTTCTTTCTGTCTGGTTACTCCAAACTTCTAACACTTGGTATATTTCCAATCACCAAGTCATATATGGGTGCTTTCATACACATGTCTTCAAGGTCTCCCATGTATCATGGAGTGTCCACTTTTATTCTTGCTATGCGAAACTCTCACAGTGCCATCAATCAGCACACACAGATGTACCTTGCCTGTTATCTGGTCGTCATATACTAGAGTGGTTCTCACTGCTGCATGCAATGTCTCGTTGGACCTTCACTTTCTTGTCCCCAACATTGCCTTCATCTACTAGCATGTTGTGGTTTACTGGCACCTCTCGGTGTTTGTCTCATGCTCCAATCGCTACTGGCACTGTGGATACATTTGCTAACTTGAGCTGACCATCAGTTATGTAGTGCTTAATCACGGAGATAGCAATTCCTTCTTGTGGTGAATTGGACATATTGTTTCTGTTCTGTATTTTCTGACAACAGCATTCATGGTAATAGTCACTCTTTCTTGTTTCTTTCCAACACCATCTTTATGTTGATATTTCTGCTGTTGCTTGTTGGTTATAGGCGTGTACTTCTTCACAATGTGCCCCATTTTATAACAAGCATAGCTTCTCTTTTGTTTGTTGAGTTCTTATCAGCTGCTTTATTTTGAGATTTCTGCTGTTAATTGTTGATGACAAACTTGCATTCCCTTGCAGTGTGCCCCATTTTATGTACTTAGTGTTTTTGGAGCATTTATTTTAATTCTCCTGTGTTACAGAAATTTTGTATTTTGTTCAGTTGTAGGTATGGCCGGAGCGTAGGAGCTCTTCCATATACCCACATCATCAACAAACTGAGAACAGAAGCAGGAATTTGGACGAAACGACGATATTTCATTCACATACATGATGGATAGTATATGGCTAACTACCCCTCCTTGCGAGACACCTGCCTCTGGAGTAAACTAATCCAAGATGCCTGATACATTTATCCTAGCTTTTCTATTATCTCCGAAGTTGGAAAGCCAGCGAATAATACATTACAGTAATTTCATTTGGGACTTTTGAAACTTTAACTTTGTGCCATACACTCTGGAAAGCTTTCATCATCATCATCTCTTTATCGGTATTTAGGTCTTTTTATCAACATTTCAATCCCCCTCCCCCACATCGTTTTACTGCGCCATCTAATATCATTTATGCAAGCTACAACAATATTTCTACAGTATAATAGATTTAGAGTAAAGAGATCAGGGTTTCTTAACCTGGGTTCCACGGGACCCTAAGGTTCCGCGCACTGGTTTCAGGGGTTCCGCAAGAAAAAAATTGTAATGGTAGTAATATAAAAAAAAAGCTGAGATTGTTTTGTAACTGTCACAATTTTTCTGGCTCTCTAAATATGTGAGAAAAGCCGTTAAAAATTCAGCTAAGCTCCTCGAAGCGTTCTCGTAGTAATTTATTTTTTCCATCAACCCAAAATGTCAGTTATCTGTATAAAGAAGTGATAAAAATATAGTAATGGATGGGTTGAAACCTAGGCTTTATATTGGTTATAAATGTAATGATGGTGGACGTCAGGGAAACCTATTAGCAAATTGTAAAAGAAAGATGTGACAGTATGGGTTTGAATTTTAGACTTTGACCACGTTTGTCTGATCCTGTGTGGCTACGAATACTGGGCTATCTGGCTGATGTTTTGGGTAAATTGAATCTAGCTCTTAAAGGAACAACCATAACTATTTTAACCACTCGAGAGAAAACTGAATCGATATTGCTAAAAACGGAGTTCTGGGAAACATGCATAAAGAAAAATGTCACCGATTTTTTTCCCAACATACATGATTTGCTGACATAACTGAATAGTCCAATCAATGACAGTGTTCGCCGAGATAATATTCAACATTTGAAGACCTACAACACACCATTAAAATGTATTTTCCACCTGTAGAAGGAAATTTATGTTGGCTGAGAAATCCTTTAACTGCATCCGTCAGAAATCTAAGTGTGAAAGAAACTGAACAGCTGATAGATATTAGTGCAGATACGGCGTTAAAAGACAGTTTCAGAAACACACCATTAATCAGTTTTTGGGCTCACCTGAGAGAAGAGTTTCCTGAAATTTATAAGCTTGTTGTATACAAGCTACTTCCCGTTGCAACTACATACTTATATGAGGCGGGATTTTTCAAGTACAGTGCAACGAAAACAAAATATCGGACTAGGCTTGATGTTGAACCAGATATATGGCTGCCAATATCTCACGTTGAAGCTAATTTCAAGAAACTCTTCGACGGCAGGCAGCACCAATCAGAACATTGAATTGAGGTAGTAATAAACAACAAATATTTCTGTTAAGGCCTATGTATCATTTATTTGGATATTTTGTTTTTATAATTATCAACTGTTTTTAATTATTTTGCTCCCAGGTTAAAACAGATATACATTACAATGACTAATTTAATTAAATAAGTTTAATGTAATGTTAAGTTTCATTTGCACCTGCAATAATAACATAATACATATAATATATATATATATATGTACGACAGGGTTCCATTGCAAATAAGGATTTCGTGGTAGCATAAAGGTTGAGAACCCCCTGATGATAGAGAAACAACAGCTTTTACTCGACCTAAGTTCTACTACATAATTAATTTCCTTCTCAGAGAGAAAGCTAGATTTTAATCAAACAGGATTAGGTTCAAGGTTATCATAGACCGTGAATGGGACAATTACACCAAAGGAGAACAGTCGATGTTTGTAAACAGTGTTGTTGACCTGTCTAAGAACATCTAAAACGTTAATAAGTACGAACTTCTATGGGTAAGGTCGCTCCAATAAGGGTGTGCCACATTGTTACAGAGCGTTTCGTGAAAAGCATATCTCTCATGTGTGCCGCTTCTTTTCCTTTTGATTTCGGACCAATGACCACCCGACCAAGAATCTCATTCTGATCAAGAATACTATCGTTCATTACCGTTATTACCAATGTGAGATTCTTCAACTGATCTTCAGCAACGTTGAATGTCAGAGCCTCATTAAAGACAGGATTCAAGGTGCCACGTTCAATACTGGTCTTCTTTTCCTTGAAACGTTTTCCATCTTGTACAAGAACAACTTTTACATACGGATCTGCAAAATACATATGTATATTACATATAATCTCTAACTTTTAAAACATTTCCATACAACACTGGTTCACACATACATACACACAAATCAGTTTAAGTTTGTTTGTAATTAAGCACAAAGCTGGACAATGGGCTATCCGTGCTCTGCCCACCACGGGTATCGAAATGCATCGTCATCTTCAGCATTTTCAATATCTGCATATGTTTAATAGAGCACGAACTAGTTCATTGGGAGATATGACATTATTACCCATGTTCATAAACGCCAAAACATGTTTCATCGCCACTGCAAAGTTGTCATCAATAGAGCCCTTGCCATTTTGAGTTTCAATATGTACATAAGATGTTATTTCAATTGAATAAGCTTTTGCCACAAAAATTGACAAAACAGCCATCCAATCTTGTTTGGAATCGCCAGATGAAATATGATCGTAATAACTAATTGAATACTTATAATTGTGATTACCTTTCGTATTTACTGTGTATACCATAGAACCATGTCATGACAATCCTTTCTTTCCATAATGTCCCACTGTTTTCTCGCAGAAGTATACTGGAATATCTAGAAATATATCTAATCATACTTACGTTTGTTATTGCTTGCTACTAATTCAGTTGATCTGGGAGGGAGTTGCTTCATTTTGGAAAGATCATTTTCCGATTTTTCGTCTGTAAAGTTCTGCAATGGTCCACCTTCAGCCAAAGTCATCATATCTCAAGAACTTGTTTTTCGCTTTTAAGTTCCTTCTTTTAGTCACCGATCCATGGCTAAGTAGTATCAATACTTAAAATCACTGTTTTTAATTTATGATATTACGAACTATTCACAAACCCAAGGCTACTTTGGATATTTCCTTGAAATACTGCACTCGACTATCACTAGTTCCTAGCTTACAGTGAGTAATCAATTAGGCTCCACCCATAAATGATATAGCCAAAGACAAGGGGAATACAGAGTGGTACGATTTATAGGCTGACGAGTTTTTAAGCCATACCCATACCTGGTCTGCTCCTTTACTCCGACTACACTACACAAAGTTTTCTCGCGGAACCCCTGGATATATTGTACAGAACCCCAGGGTTGCGCGGAATACTGTTTGGGAAAAACTTAATTAGTGGGTTTTACTACCAGGAAACGACTTAATATCTTGGCTGTTACGTTTTAAAATGTTAGGTATTCAACTTCTTTGTTAAAAAAAAGCAAAAATTATACTGACAAGTAATTATATTTTATAAAAAAAATTATGTTCCAGGTACTATGTTGCCTTTGGAAATATTTTCTTTATCATCAGTCGTGCTAAACCATTACTTACTGTTACTCAACACCACAATTTCCACTGTAACAAGCTTCTGCAAAAGGTAGCGAGGTCATTCTTAGACCACACATGTTGATAAACCTTTCGCAAAAGTTTTACTGTACTTGGAAGTCATTGTGTCTTTCGGTTTTTACCTCGTTCAACAGAGAGAGGACTAAGTTCGTGGCCATTGCAAGCCTAATGTTTGGGTGTTCGCTATGATCCTAGCACAGATGGCCAGTTGTGTTGCTTTGAGCTTAACTTAAAACAAACAAACAAATCGTCATGATACAAATATATAGGTGCTAAACACGTCTCCGGTGACGTCACGATTATCTTCTGTATAAATAAGCTCTACATATTTCACTATTCAGTTTCTGTTAGAAGTATTAAAACGTATAGAAAATTTCAAAATACACTACATTACATTTATCTTATATTTTTTCAACTTACCTTGTTTTTTAGAAGTTTCTCGCAAAGCTATACGTCACAGCTAGACTATATTACCCACCACCAACTCTTGGACTACTCTTGTCTGACTAAATAATTCGATTGGATCAAAATTGCGAAACATATTTTTGTGGTCAACGAGATCATCTTGTTTACTAACAAAAGTTTCATATCATTACAGGCCTTATGTCCCAACCAAGCTTTACAGTCTACATTGGTCGAATACAAGACACAATTAAATGTAGTGTTATTTTGCAACTTTGTCATTCACTTGACGTAATATTTTTATTACCAGTTTTCAGTTTAGTTTTACCCCGAAACTAAATCGTTTATCATCTGATAAATGTCAGTAAGTGTGGCAGATGACACAAATGAAAGTAGTGTGACCGAAATAGCTTGATTTGCCATTAAGAACTTGAAATTATAAATCTTCCCCCAAACTCTCAAGGAATGCAATTTTCAGCTAACATCACAGAATGCCATTTTTAGGTTTTTATATTTTCAGCTAACATCACAGAATGCCATTTTTAGGTTTTTATATTTTCAGCTAACATCGCAGAATACCATTTTTAGGTTTTTAGCTAACATCGCAGA